TCCTAGCTAAGAGCACTCCTAAGTATATAATGGGTCATAGTAGCCTAGTGCATTCTATTGACTCCGCTAATTTTTCAACAGTTCCATCGTTTACATTTATCCCAATCAACCCACTTTTTGACAAATTAATTTTCACTCCAAAAATATACTCAACTAATTAAACAAGTGTAAGCACATTATAGATAGACCCGTTATTATATTGCGAGAATAGAATAGTGTTATCAACAAACTTTCCCAACCACAAACCCTATTGTGACCCACACTCCGATCCTTGATCAACATCCTACTCAGCATGTCTATCACCAATGTAAAAAGAAAAGGTGAGAGGGGATTCCTTGGCGCAATCCTCTCAATGCCTCAAACCATTCTTGTGGTTTTCCATTCGCTATTACTGCAAATGAAACAAAAGATAAACATCTCCAAACCATTTATACCATTGTGATAAAAAATCTTTATGCTCCATGACCCCATTCAAGAATCTCAAATGAACTCTATTGCATGCCTTCAACGAAGGCACTCTAGGTTAATGAAATTGTGTCATCAAGAATCCTACTAAGTCACAAAGAAAACACCTTAGTGGTTATCTTAAACACAATTGTAACTAAACTAATTAGGCAATAGTCAAATAGACTTATCCTTCTTGGTAATCAAGGTTATGAATTTGAATTCATACTCGTACAAATGGTGGCATTCCAATGAAACTCCTCAAACACTGACTAAGTTTATTTTGATAATATCCCAACAGCTTTGGAAGAGAGCCATGGAAAATCCATCTGGTTCAGGAGATTTCTCCTGCCCTAATTCCCAAACAGCCCTCCTAATCTCCTCCTCCTCCTCAAAAGGTCTCTCCAAACTTCCCCAACTCATGCTCATATATCTTAATTATATTTGAAAGTTTTGGAAAGTTCCATTCATTTCATGATTGTGAAGAGAGAGAGAATTAGAATATAAAAAGAAATGTAAAAAAGAATAACAAAGTAAATGAATTAGCATACCTGAAGAACAGCAAAGCATAGATCTTCAAGTTCAGACTTTAACGCCCAAAGACCCAATCTGGAAGCAAGTGAGCACCAAATATATAGGGTCTCCTGTGCTACAGCTTGAGCCTTTGGTAGTGGCAAAGCATAACTACAAAAGAAGATGATTAGGCCAGGCCTGATCCATGTAAATAGAAGCACCTTAAGACTTATCAATTACCACGTAATTTCAAGAAGATGATCACGTCAAAATATTCTCGTCCTTCTAAAGGCAATGACTGCTATAAAAGTTTATTATGACTACTTATGAACAAAAGCACGTGGATATAGATTGTTGAAAGAAAATATGTTAGTACATTATATGCTTGAAAGAAAAAAATAACTGGCTGTTTATAGGGATCAATATGCCAAGAAAGGGAAAAGCTGTGAACAGGAAACTGCAAGTAACTAACTACAATACGTGAAAACCTATACAAGAAACAAACTGTATACAGGAAAACCTACAACTACTATCGTGTATCCTTATATAAGTATATATATGCATACATGTAGAGTCTCTGTGTGTGTGTATATATACATATATACAGTTACTCTCTATAAAATAAAAACAGATGAAAGAACAAAGCAAATCAAAATCTAATATAGACATAATCCATACGCAGGAAGCTCAGAGGTAGTACATAGTTCTCATGTTGTGGAGACGGTCTGCAAGCTTGATAAGCATCACTCGGGGATCATCAACCATGCCCAAGAGCATAACTCTTAAATTATTTGCCTTCAAAAATAACCATGCAAACACAAGAATTAGAAAACACCAACAGCTAAATAGAGATCTTATGCTTAGAAGATGAGACCCCTTCACTTACTATATTACCATAACGCTAGAGTTGATTCCAGCTGAACAAATAAAGTGAGACATATTTTTTCCTACTTTGATTTAGAAATTTCTTCTTGAAATAAATGAAGCATATACATTACTCCTAAATCTGTATCATCCAACAACCTCTCACAAACAATCATATTTAGGTTATGTGTTTGCTAGGCAATTTCATTATGATTTAAGATATTTTCTAATCTATGAATGGATCAGTAGCATTGCAGGCCAACAAGTCAAGAAAATTGACATGTGATTTAGTGAGTCATCAACTATTCTCTAGTTTCCACCATCTAAGTATGATAAATTACATTAGTACCTCTTCATGACCAAGGGCTCCTTGGTCCACATTTATCCTTCGATGTCTTCGTAGTAGCTGCAAAACCAACAACTCTAGCTCAATATAACATGATAGGAAGCTCCAGAAGCTAGTAAAGGGGGTAGGATATAGAATCTTAAAGGACACAATACAAGTGTAATTCATGTTAAAAAGCCAGAATGAAAATAATATTAAAACTGGGTAAGAGATATGATGTTTCTTCTTGAAAATAATCAGGGTCTTCTACTGCACAAGGGATTTAGTAACTCTGTCTCTGAATGTAAGTTAGCATGATTTTATCCAATTTTCATCCAATTACACTAACCATAGGAACTAAGGTACTTCTCAAACTCAACCCATGAGGCCCAAATTTAGAATGTATTTAGTTTGCTTAAGTTGGTGTATATTATTGGCTGCACAGTTAATCAGCCTTATATATGGGTTAGGTTGACAAATACATGAACATGAGTATGACAACTAATGAGACATGTGTATGACCTCTCCACAATATATACGTCAACAATTAATTGTACATATATGTGATGTTTCCATGACACATGCATGTGACCATTTAATGATTCACCTAAATGATATCAACATGTATTAATCCATATCATGTTGATTCATACATCTAGGAAATATCAAAAATTGTCATTCATTTTTATTACTTAAATTAAATCATTTCCCAACAATCCCCACTTCATCTACATTATCTCAGCATATAAGTTTGATTGGGCCTCTAAGAAGAAATGTGCATCCATGAAAGTTACATTCAGGGTTTAAGCCGTCAAACGTTTAACTTGGCACTTGTTTTAAAAGCCAAGAGTTTAAACATATTCCTTCTAGAGAATTTTGTATTTCTAGAGCTAGCACTTTTCTAGTCAATGCTTGATCCTCAAACTGAAATTTTATTTCTGTAACTAGCATGAAAAGGTAGTCGTCTTCTCTAGCTCTAGAAAGGCGAGAACATGACAAATACAAGTATGCAGTCTTAGAACTGATAAAGCTCCTGGCCCTTAAAAGTTTTTCATCATTTACTTTCAAGGTTGTTGGGAGGCTATTCAAAGGGATTTGGTTAAAGTCTTTCAGAAGTTTTTTCTGAATGGAAAAACAGGTATCACTATGAATTCTCCCCTTATCACGTAAATTTCTAAGAATAATTACGCCACTAAGGTGCTTCATAGTGTTACAAAAGGTATCACGACAAATTCCTTCATAAATTTTCATCACAATCACCATTAAGAAAAGCAATCTAAACATCCATTTGATGAATGAACCAATTATATAACGTTATCAAAGCAATCATGAATGCAATAGTAGTAATCCTTACAACCAGTAAGTAATGGTCCAAATAATAGCATCACCTTACGTTGGTTATAACAATTTGTGACAAGTTTGGCTTTAAATTTTTAGACGGATCCACCTATACTTAACTTTTGACGCTCTACTTACAGCCATGGATTTGCGTCCTTCTTGTAAATCAACCAAAATCCAAGGTTTTATTGGACATAAGACAATGCACCTAATGTAGTACAAGAAGATCTTAATTTGAACTATTGTTTAAAATAAAAAGTGCAAAGTATAGTATTAATAACAGCATCAAGGGGGTGCCAAAACCATGTACAAGAAATTTACATATCTATCAATGTATCAATAAGACCCATTAACTCCTCCATCATGTGAGGAGAATGACCCATTAACAAAAATCAAGAGTTTAGAACCATCTATTTTTAAGTATGTCAAATCCATCCACATCATCAACCTCATCAAAAGCTTTTTTATTCCTCTTCTTTCACACAATCTAAAATAGTGTGAGCGGAATTAAGTCCAACTGCTTCCTCCTTCCTCTAACACCTTCACACCGCCAAATTTCATCTTGTACCCATTCTGTCATCACCCAGATTATGCTTAAAAGCCCATAAACCATGGTCCAAAACTTGCACACCACCGGACACCATAACAAAACATGGTTGCAATTCTCCTTCGCCCTCTTATACAGATAACAAATATTAACCGAGATCTTACCCCTTTTTCTCAGATTATAAATAGTCAAAATGCATCCTCTACCAGCCTTCCATACAAAGAACGAAACGCAGGGTGGAATATTAGCCTTCCAAATTTGTCGGTCAGGAATCTTGCATCATTTTTGTCATATCTGAACAGACGCTTTAGAAGGACTTGACTGTGAAAGACCCATCCTTAGCAAGGCATCACTGAGGATTATCATTGCTTCCATCTAGGTTCACGAGGGAGAGAGTGCTTAAAAGCCTCTCGTATTGTCCAATCTCTCAATCATTTAAATTTTTTGATACAAAAACCTGTCAAACTCTCTCGCCTCCCTCCACATCTACAAAGAAATCACAGATCTTTGCATCTTTTTTCTAGGCAATAGCAAAGATCTGAGGGTATTGATCCTTAAGGGCACCTCCTTCCAACCGCTGATCTTCCCAAAGTCTTACTCTTATCTCCCTTACCTACCTTTCATCTTATACACTCCTGAAACACATGTCGGCTTGCACCTATTATTTTCCACACACTCTTCCCATGAGGTCTCATGCCCCCTCTGGTGAACCACCCTCTCTCATTCGTTCCAAACTTAGCTGTTGTAACCCTTCTCCATAGCGCTTTACCCTCTTTCATAAACCTCCACAGCCACTTGTCTTGCATCGCCTTATTCATTTCCACAAAAGATATCAAACCTAGCCCACCTTTGGATAGTGGCTTTTTGAATTATGTCTTTTATTAAATAAATTTCTTTAACTATTACCAGTTTTTTATAAGTATATTTTGATATTGTAATAATTTAGTTTCTTTTTAAGAAAATTTTAAATTTATAGGAATTAGAATTTTTATATTTTCTTTTCATAATTTTTCTTATCAGATGTAACTAATTTATATATATGTATACACACAAAGGTTGGTGTAAATCTAACCATATTAAGCCACACCATCAAAAAACATTAATTATTTTGTAATTAGTTTAATAAATACATACTCATGTACAAAAAAAAATTATTACAAATTTTATTCCTATATATATACATATATTTATGCACTGCACCAATCATAAATAATAATTTTTTTAAAGAATTAACAAGAAGAAAAAGAGAGAAGTGTTCATGTCACAGAAAATTCGTATGCATGTAGATGAAGAATTATAATTAAGCAAGTCACTTCATCTTCTTCTAATAATTCTTTTCGAAAAATTGGATTATCAATAATTGGTGCTCTACACACATATATATATATATATA